AATTGCTTGAATAATTCAAGTGGAGCAGAACAAATGCACTGCTATAATGCAATCTGCCCAATAATGCAATCTGCCAAACCAGCAGTTTTGTCACCAAATTGTATTCGCTTAGCGACAGTGTTTTCGCTTGTTTACTTTTTCTTGGTTTCAAGTTTAACGGAAAAGAGTGTTTTCGCTTAGCGACAGTGTCTAGCATGCATGCCTACACTATAGCAGTTTTTGCTTTTTCTTGTTCTTTATACAAGCCAGAGTGTCTAGCATGCATGCCTACACTATATATAGAGGCATGATTTTGACAAGAATTAAAATTAATAATTCTGGGCTAGAAGAAAAATATATAACCACAGAGATTCGGCAAAGGTGTCCCATCACTGAAGATAGAGACCTGAAGTGAGGATGTTATGGATGCATATAACCCATGAAGCAAAATATTGGAACAGCCCCCGGAAGCACAGTTGGTCATGATAACATCAAGTGAGGTCTCTATCAATATATAACCACTGAAGATGGCCCATCACTGAACACTGATACTTCCCAAATCACTCTTAAAATGGCAGAATTTCACTAAAGTGCAGAATTGGCATACTTCCCAAATAGCCACAGGAAGTGCAGAAGCAATGATATCTGAAGAAAATGCTGAACACTGATACTTCCCAAATCACTCTTAAAGTCATACTAAAGTGCAGAATTTCACTAATGAACACTGATACTAAAGTGCATCATGCAACATGCCAAGCTCCACGGATGCAACTACCGATGGCAACATTCATAACCGGCGCTTGGCATGAGCGCCGCCGGAGCACCGCTCCACATGCACGACAAAGCCAAACAACAAAGCGTCACTCGCCTCTCGCAAACTGAAACTGAACCTAACATGTACAATCATGCAGAGAACAAATCGAAGTGGTTCTTTGTTGAGGAATAAAGACCTGGTTGCTGCTGTTGTTGTTGCAGACGAGGAGGGGACCAGCAGGGGCACCTTGTCGGCGATGCCGCCAGAGCACCTTGCCGGCTTGCCACGGGAGGAGCAGGACCTGGTCAACAGGAGTAGCCGGTCAGAGAGAGAGAGAGAGAGAGAGAGAGAGAGAGAGAGAGAGAGGTACCTGTCGGCTGCCGACGGAGGGAAGGTGGCGCGGCGGAGATGGCCCGGCGACCTCAACCCTAACGGACGGGGAGGGGCGGCGGCAACAATGGGAGGGCCAGCTCGGGGTAGCTCATGCTGGATCTTCTGTCCCCAGGAGGGGGCGGCGCCGGAGGGGGACGGCGAGGCGG